ATTTATCTAAATATATGTAATGATCCTGTAAAAATGCTATCATTACATTTGTCTTATTTCATAATATTATCAGTAGTATTAATAATGAGGTTTAGGCCTATACTTACTTCTAACTATGAATGATTTCGGTAAAACTTGTTATCATTAGCTTCATCCAGTATTTCATTGATTATCTGATTTAATGAAATCGTTGAATCCTTAGATTTTATTGTAAAATCTATTGTCGCATTTGCAAGGCTATACTTTAGAAGTGACTATTTAGTTATAATTTTCTAATTTCCTTTTATTATACTTCGTATTTTGTCCTTGCTTCCATATTTATTCATTATTCTTAATCCGTCTTTAATACATTAATTTTCATATAGACTTCACTTTCGCGACCAAGTTTTATTCAGAGTCAGACAGATGCCCGCTGGATCACGCAAAATGCGTCAAGAACCTCTCGTGTCCTGTCTCGGTAAGATTTTATTTGAATATACTGACATATTACTTGAACTTTTTTAGAAAGCCAATCTCCTCCCTTGGACAACATCAGTCTTCGCTTGGTCCAACTGCTTCTGGTCTTCTTTCTCTTGGAAGTCGCTACACTCCTTCTTCATCGGCTGCTTTTGGGAATTCAGCCGTTGGTGCTATGGGAGGCGCAACGGTAGTGGGTTTGACAAGTGCCCAAATGAGTGGACAATTATCCAGTGCTGGAGGTCTCGTAGAGAGAGACGCTAACTACCGATTGGCTGCTGCTATTGCTGGCACTAGTGGACGGGGCCGACCCCGAGGCAGACGTCCTCTTCGTGTAGGCCAGCTTAGTTTTCTTTTTCCAATCACTATTTAGAAATAAACGATAGTTTAGATAACCGAAAGCTTCTTTGTTCATAAGCATATAGCATATTTCATTTTGTGATGATGTAGTCGCCACACCGCAGATTTTTAACTTATTTAATTTCAAGGTTTGGCTTTGATTCAACTTTTACGTTTAACATCTTGTTCTGGGCTATTGTTCTGTCTGAAAAAAATGCATATCACCTTTTCGTTCGTTTAGCTTAGCTTAAGACTTCTAAGACTTGTAATTACATAAGTGTTTCTTTTTTATTTATTTAATCTGCTTTATTAACTGTATACTTCACTTCAATCTTATTTTATTTTTTCTTGTCACTCCACTTTCTTGCTTAAATCTAGGCATTTTCATTAGAAAAAAGCCAAATGACATAATTATGTCATAAAAACATCGTTACCAAATTCGGGCATCACTTTAATGCTTTACCTATATTTGATTCCCCCATTTCATTTCCAATGTTTTGAATGAATTTGTAAGTGGGGTAAATATAAATTAAAAGCAGTTGTAAACTTAGAAAAATATCTTTTTTCGACGATTATTTTATTTTGCAATATGAAGGCATTAGGCCACTACCCAAGGCCTTAAACTGCACCATCGCATCTATTTTTTCTCCCTAATATTTCTTTATCCCATCACGTATTTATCTTTATATATATAATTGTGTGTATATTTTTTTGAATATGTAGGGTCAATTTCCTGTTGTTCCAATCGATATGGTTCGCCAACTAGGGATTGAACAACAAGTAATTTTGCAGCCAGCTGCTCCAGTCGCTATGCGTAACAAGGCTGTTTTATGTCGTCCCCTTTCGATGTCCAGAAAGACACAAGCTAATGTATTATTAGGCGAAATAGAGGTCCAAGTTGATTCGGACCTCGTTGATGATACATCTCGTGACTTGGAATCTGAGATCACTGATGATACACATATTCTTGTTGAGGAGCCCTTGCGACAAAAAAAACCTGTTGGGACTCAGGTATTCTCATTTTTTCATTATTTGCACTTTTATTTAATTTTATTCCGCCTATTATTTATTTCCATATACTTTACACTTTACTTTCGTGAGGTATTACGGCTTGTTTTCTTTTCTAAGGCTCAAAAGGAAGGATCCGCAGTGTAACTTGCGTTGTCATTGAGCTATGCTTATCTTTTCTATTCATAGAATAAATAGGTTTTTAACTTCTCATTAAATATTAAATAGGAACTCAAATCATCCTAGTTCGTTTGAAGCGTTAATGCCATCAGAATAAAAAAAATCATATTTACAGTATATTGCAAAGCAGATAAATAAATAATAGTAAGAATGTGAAGTGAAGCTGGATTTGAGATAATCCTAGCTTTTCCAAAAGTTGCTATCATTCAGGGTGGATTGCAGCTTTGACCTCGCATAGGTCTTATCAACACCCTCAGCTGGAGTGGGACCGTGACGGTGCAGCATGTGAGCTTGGCACGCTAACCACTCGGCCACATTGCCATGAGTGCCTTTGGGT